CTTACTGAATATCCTGTTCCGTAACAGTGGCTTCATTCCTTTCTTTTAAATGGTATTAAATTTTATGTGCAGTGGCCAAGTAAACATAGGTTTTGTGGCATGATAATATCCCCCAAATCGCAAGACATCAAGTCCTCTTTCTCTCAATATTGTGCATGGTATAACAATAATTTTTTCTACCTAATTTCCTTGCCTTGAAATACTCACCACTGTGCTAATGCAAAATCAGCAGAAAACAAATATGCATCTCAGGCTGATGGACACCATAAGAAGAAGATACTTACTTTAAGGAAATCTGTGTGACTGATTAGTTGTTCACAAGGTCAATTGGTTTTATGTACTGAACTTGAGAAGTTAATAAGAAATGGCAAACATTACAAGTATCACAATGAAAAATGTAAAACATGGTTAGAAAGGATCATTTCTGGTTGGCTGAAGGGATGAATTAGGTATATTCAGGACTTTCTGGTTTTCTGTGGATATGAGTTCCACAGATATCACCCCTGAATAGACAGCCCCTGATTTTTCTCAATTACCTGGGATCAATTGTTTCTTGTCCTTTCACCTCTTCAAGATCATTTCGCTGTTCTGTAAATAAATTAAGAGAAGACCAGCCAGATGAACTTGATCACATTTATACATTCACAACCTTGTGTCCAAACCTACCTAGCGGCATAAATATACTCGGTGTGATAACAGGCTATTGTGAGAGAAACTTTCCAGGAGGCCTCAGGGTGAGCCTTGTGAGAAGTCACTAGGTTTGCTTTCCTGAGCCATGGAGCAAATCTCCCTGATATGACAGGTCATCATCACAGTCCCTTCTGTCCTGAGTCACAGCAAAATGTTAACCATATCCTATTTACTAACAGATCCTGGAGATCTACTTAAATGCTTCCTAGCAGGTTACTGCAGTATTCAGTATGTTTCCTTCCGATAAGCTGTTTTCGGTGTTTTTGTGGAATGTACATTTAGAGGGACAGATTAAATCAAACGCATCTCTAATGCTACATGGAAACTTAGGCCTTTCATGTGACAGGGAGTTCCAGGGCCCAGCCTCCTTTCAGAAACATACAAAATCTAATAGTGGTGTCATGTTCTGGTACTCAGAGACTTCTTAGCTAAGACAAGCCTGCTAAAAGGGGAGGGAGTTTAGCCTGGGAGAAGTGAACGAGGGTAATGACAGCTCCAAGGATATATATAAGGCTGCCAGTGGCCTTGGACAGGCAGAGAAACTCAGGTTGTTTGGGAGGGAAAATTAGAAGATTTCATGTGAGGTGACAGATGAAATCTAAATCAGGAGGACTGGTGGTTACATCCTGCACCCAGGCTGCAGAGGTGGGTATGAATTTGTCAGGTCAACCTTGGGTACAGTGATTTGACAATGGGGCAAAGATGAAAGACAATGTGTGGTTTTGGAGGAGGATGGAGCACAACTCTGACTCCTAGGATGCCTTCCTTCAAAATCCTAAAGCCTGGTTCTAACCAGTATATAAGCATAGTGTCTTCCTGAAGGTATGACATCTCTCATTATGGACAGATTGTGTGGTGGAAAGAATAGGGAGCCTACCTAGGAAGCCAAGTGAGGTCTCATCCCATTTGGAATTGGAGTCATCCTTGGCAACATCCTGAGTGGAGCAAACTTTCTCTTCCTCCAGTGCCAGGAAAGAGACTTCACTATGCAGGTAATAGTTGGACATGTCATGCTGTCTAGAATGAGACAAAACACATTCCCCTGTTAAGTCCTACAGGACTCCCTTCTGTTCAGCATCCTCCAGCTTCCTGAGGAGCCGGGTAGGATAGGATTGACAGAAGATTAGACCAAGAGTGATTCAACACCACAGTATGTCATGTGATTTGATGGCACACAAAGGGAGGGGTCACAGAAAGCGAAGGGGGAGTCTAAATGTGGGGTGGATATGACTGCCCTGGAGACAGAGCAAACACAAGCAGCAGGTGCTCAGTGCACTTGCCACAAACAGCTGCTGCAGGAAACCCAGACTCTCCCTGTAAACTAGCAGCATGACTTGCAGCAGAGAGAACTAACACAGGCCTTCACTTCCTTCACACAAATTGCGTTGACATTTACATGCAGCATCCAAGTGAACAGAGATGTTTAGGCATTCCAGACACACAGATCCTGCATTTTTAAAGTCCTGTATTTTTCAATGTTTTGACATATGAAATTTTTATGTTTAATTTTCTCATTTGCATTCAAGTACTTGCCAACATGCTGACACAAAACATACAGAAAACATATATGTATCTCACTCTGGATTAATCACATGGGCAACCACAGCTCAGATCAGGAAATCCCTGAGTTTGATCTGTTCACCTGGCTCAACTGATTGTCAGTTCCTATGCTTGAGAGGGATTAAGAAATTGAAACCTATTCAAGTACCACAATAAAGAAGACAAGATTGTGAAAGGGGTAATTTGCAGTTGGATGAATGGATGAGACAATTCGATTCATCACTTCGTATTTTCCCTGAATCTGTGGTGTCCAGGTGTCACTACTGAACTAACAGCCCACAAATCCACAGTTACCTGGGGGGCACTGGTGCTTTCCCCTCCTCTTCCTCATGATCATTTTGATTTTCTGTAAACAAATTCAGAAGAGCAGGTCACAGTAAGGAAATCACACCTGACACAAGACCAAATCAATGTCCAGTCATGGCGCAAGACATAAATATCCTCAGTGTAAGAATGTGACATTTTGACAGGAGCATTCTGACTTATTTTCAGAAGTAGATGAGCCTTCTTTCCAGATCCATGGGATAAAATCTCTCCCATCTGGTAGATCATAATCACCTATCCTCTGACCTAAGTCTGTGTCAACAATTAAACAAAACTTTTTCCACAAGATCTTCAAAAATTGCCCTAACTACTCTCCAGAAGTGTTGTTGCAATACCGATTTATGTCATCATATATCATGGTCAATGAATGGTTAGAGAAATTTATATAGCAGACTGAACTGATGGATAAATTCTAACAACCCTTGCATAGAAAAGGATCTGTGGTGCTACACAGAAACATTGGCCACTCACAGGGTGAGGAACTCAGGGCCCAGCCTTGTTTAGGAAAACTTATAAGCAAGATAAAGGTAGAAGTGTTTATGTCCTGCTTTCAAGGTGACTGCTTAGCTGGGACAAGATGACCTAAAGGAGACCAAGGCTGGGGCTGAGAACAGTGAATCCAGAGAAACATGTCCAAATACATAGGCAAGACTGTCAGCGGCTTGTGACAGCATAGACACTCCATGGACATTATTACTGCAAGTGACAAGGGACACACGAACCGAGCCAGGAGGCCTGACAGCTACCTCCTGTATACAGGTGGCTATGACTTTGTCACACCTGCCTGTGGTCCAATATGCTAATATTGGGGCCAGGAAGACAAAGTCCATGCCATGGGCCAAGGAGGCGAGGAAAGTTCTCTGACCCTCAAGTAGCTGTGTTTATTATTCCATCATAGTGTCTTTCTTTCTTTTTCTTCTTTCTTCTTTTCTTTTCTTTTCCCTTCCCTTCCCTTTCTTTCTCTCTCTCTCTGTCTCTCTCTCTCTTCTCTCTTCTCTCTCTCTCTCTCTCTTTCTTTTTCTTTTTTTGAGACAGAGCCTCACTCTGTCACTCAGGCTGGAGTGCAGTGATATAATTATGGCTTACTGCAGCCTCTACTTCCGGGGCTCAGGTGATTCTCCCCCCTCTGTTGCCTGGGTAATTGGGATGACAGGCATGCACCACCATGTCTGTCTAGTTTTTCATATTCTTTGTAAAGGTGGGTTTAACCATGTTTTCCAAGCTGGTCTTGAACTCCTGAACTCAAGTGATCCACCCACCTGGGCCTCCCAAAGTGCTGGGATTATAGGTGTGAGCCACTGCACCTGGCTCCATTATAGTTTGTGATTCAAACCAATACATACATATACAGACTGTCCTCAGAATTGATCTTCCTCAACCTAGACAGAGGTGGGAGGGACAAAGAACAGAGAGGCTACCTGGGAGAATGGTTAGAGCTTCCTCCTCTTCATCATGAAAGCGTTCACGCTCTACAACCAGAGCAGAGTCAACTTTGTTTTCCTCAAATGTGATTTTGGTGCTCCTGTGAGGCTGGTTGGAGTTAGAAGGGTTGTGACTATTTGAACAAGTGACAGCACATTCCTCCAGTGAATTCTGAGGGACTTCCTTTTCTTCAGCCTTCTGCACCTCCCTGATGAGCCCAGTGGGATAGAGATGACAAAAGATTAATCCAAAAGTGATTGGAGCCCAAGAAGTCCTAGCTGGTTTTGAAAGGAGGCTTAAGGGAGTGGTCCCAGAATGCAAAGGAGAGGTTCCTTTTAAGAGGGAACAGGCAATCCTTTTCTGTCTGCAACAGAGCATGGCTGCCATGGGAACCAGAGAGGAAGTGAGCAGCTAGTGATCATTGCATTGGGTAGATAGGAGCTGAGCAGGATGGAGACTGAGTTGTCTCTGTATGGTACAGTCTTGACAGCACACACAGAGATCCAAAAACAGCTGCCACACTGTGTGTCTAAGCTGGGTTGTAGTTCACTGTGGCCACGGGAATACAGGTGTTGAAGTCATTGTGGACTCTAGAGATGGTGTGCCTTCTAGATTTTTTTTTTAATTTTAATATTGTGACATGAAATGTAAATTTTTTTGTCTAAATATGTTTCTTCGTGTTCAACTTGGCTAGGTGCTTCCTATTTCCTCTGCTTGTTGCCTCTCTGTTATTTATCTTTACTAAAAGGAACCTAAAGACAACCGTGTATAAAGCAGCTTTGCATGTCCTCCTGACTTTCACTACAGAGAAGAAAAGTTCTCCTCTGTGTGTGCAGGAAGTCCCTAGGGCTGTGAGTTCATCTAGGGTCATGCTTACGTGTACCATGAAGACAATGGACAAGCATGTTAACAGGGCTATTTCCTTGCTGGGTGAGTGCATGAAATCAGTGGACTCTGCAGGTTTCCTATCCTGCATCTGGAATCTGTGACTACCTTCACCCGCCTTGTGTTCTTTCTGAGACCCTTTTCATATTTTACCACCCATTACCCGCTCCTGATTATTCAGTGTTACCTGGGGGCAGGTGATTCCTGTACTTTCTCAACCTCCTCATCCATCTCATCTTCATCCTCATCTTCATCATTTTCTGCAAATACAGAAGTGTCCATTCAGATGTGTCCCACTTCATCTACGTAAGTACAGTGAGCCATATGTGTACAGAGACATGAAGATCTATGTGTATGAGTCCACACTGTACTGAAAGCTCTCATGTTTTATCTCTAAAAAAATGCCCTGGCGTGTTTTCCTGATCCATGAGGCAATGCGTTTCTGATCTTGGGAGTCACCATCAAGATGTGGCCAAATATTGAAAAGACCTTTTGCTCTTCATATCACTGGAGTCTCGTCCAGGTTCTCTGAACTTCAGCAGCTGTCT